CTCATATTCGAGATGGCACTTATAAATGATTGTGTGACATAGAAAACGATTTAAAAGTATCATTCATTTTAATAGAGAGGATCATGAAAATTAGTTCTCTAAAGTAGCAACATCCCTCCTTACTGGTTAGCAGGGACACTTCTCCAGATAAATAAGAACAGAATTTACTTCTGCCTGAAAGATTGAAGTAATTAAGACAAAAATAAATTACCTGGATCAGTGGTTCTCAATCCTCTGTGCTCATTAGAATTCTCTAGGGAGTTAAAAAAAAAAAAAAATCACAGATCCAGGTCCCCAACCCTAACCAACTGAAATAGGGAGTGGTCCTCAGCATTGTTCTTTTTCAAAAGGTTCCCCTAAGTGATTTTAATTCATAACCAAGATTAGAACACTGATCTAGGTAAAGGTTGAAAAATCAGATGACTAAATTTCAGTTGGTATTTTAATTTGAGGAATGTAGATTATTACTTCAATGTTTTRAATTTTAAAACCACCAATGCATTTGGTTTCCTGTAACTTTAAATCCTATCTTTTTCAGAATGGCAGTAAAGACCTTTATAATGTTAGCAACCTATTTTTCAGGTCTCAGCTCTACACTGCTTCAGTCTTGTTTAACTTAAAGCATTCAAACATTCCTTGCACTTTTATTCCTCCATGACTTAGTTTCTTGCTAATTTTTCTTTTTCAGTCAGACATTGAATTTCCTGCTATATTTGGCAAAACACCACTTAGTCTGTAAAGGCYACCTTAAAAGTCATTTGCTTCTGTGACACTGGGTTAATCATAACGCATTTTATATAATGCTGATTTGTATAGATTTAAATCCTGTTTTCCTGAAGAGACAAAGTCACATTATCTAGCAAAAAGGGTGCAGTTCATGCCTCTCAATAAATTGTTATCTATTCAAGTATGTATATAATATATTGCTGCCAATATYAATTATTACTTAGGTATATAATCCCAGAAGAAGGTATTTGATTTAGGCTTATGGATTATTTCACACAGACATTTCAGTTGTGTTCTGAACAGCTGCAAATTTCAATATCTTATTCCAACCCCTTGAATCATTTTAAGGGAGACCACAAAGTATGACTTTTTTTTTCTGTTTAAAATGGGCATATTCAGGCTTTAAATAAATCAGAACTATTTAAAATATTAAGACATAGGTATTCTTCTGATACATTGATTTTTTTTCACATTTGGTTACAGCATGTGTCAAATATAAAGACATAGGTATTCTTCTGATACGTTAATTTTTTTTTTTCACATTTGGTTACAGCATGTGTCAAATGGAAACATCATTTCTTTTTTCCTCACCCTTGGGTCTTGATGCCACAGGAAAGCAATTTGCTAGCTCCTTGATACCTGATAGTTCTCTAAAAAGACTCTTCCATGAGGATCAGCATTTTCTCCAAGACAGGAGTTCTGAATTATCTTTTTCTAAAAGATACATACATTTTTTTTAAAAAAAGGGTCCAGTACTCTTCTGCAAAACTTTTTCTGTCTCATGAGCACCTATTAGAGCTACTACCAAAAACATGAAGGCAAGAAAAGAAATCCATGCATCCACAACAGTAAAAAAGAAAGGCCTCAAACTTGAGAATTAGCAAGATTACAGACCATGGAGGACAGGAAATAACGTTTTAAATGAAAAATCGTCTTAAAAAMCAGAAGATTATCCTGTGGTCTCTTCCTTAGGTTTTCCCACTTCTTTCTCACAGCAGGAATATTGTGAAATATGCAGATGATAGAGAGGCATTCATGTGAATATTCTGAACTTAAATTTTCTTTAAAAAATGAAGGTGGTTGCTTGGTTAGAGTGGTTTGTTGTGGAGTTCATAACTATACAGGTTGCGATTTATATCTAGTCACAGAACACTTACATTTCTAGGATGATTTCTAGATAATCAGATATGAAAATTTTCCGTAGTTGAAAAACTTAATTTTTAGGCAAAGGCCGATAATATCCAAGGAACCCTATGCCTTTGGGAACTGTTTCCCCTCAAGCCTATATTGATCAAGACCCTAGATTTTCCATTAAACTCAATAGGTCGGCAACATTAATGCTGGGTGCGGACTACAGGCCCACCACTGGAGGGCGTCTGGACGCTTCTAAACAGCTCCAAAGCGCCTGGAAATCTCGAGCCCTAGAACTGGAAGGCACAGGAGGGAGAATATATTTGATTTTATTAGGCCAATAAGTAAAAGGGACAACTGGCAGGTTAGGARCAAAACTAAACGGCTTTCTTTCTTGGGATCATTCCTTCCCTCCGAGGCAGCAAACTCGCTAGAGAGCAATAGAAAAATATTAACAGTTCCCGAGCCCGCGGAACCCGGTGCGGGCAGGTCTCCGCGGGCCTGTGGCCCYGTAGCGACGGGCGTCGGGCAAGCTTCCAGGGCGCCGGACGGCTGCGGGGGAAACGTCTCACGGCGCCGAGAAAGGCTAGCTGCCAAGCGATTGCGCTCTGGTGGCGACAGAGGACCGAGGCGCTTCAACCTGTCCTAGAAGTCCAATTAAAAAAAAAAAAAAAAAAAAGAAAAAGAAAAAAGAAGAAGAAGAAAAAGGAACTACTTCCCATTCCAACTCCACCCTCTCTCTCTCTTTTCGCAACGGGTTACTTCAAGGCATTTATTTACGGGGAGTGAGCAGCGAATCAGCCTCAGGATTGAAATGAAAAAGGTGTAAAGCATTTCTGATGCGCTCACTTGCCGCATTCATTTCCTCCCTGTTGGAGGTTCGCACTGAATTGTAATCATTTTAAATTGAGATTTTCCCGATTTTTTTTTTTTTTTTTAAAAAGAGCTTCCAGATCATCACTTTAAAGAGAAGTCTTGCTCCTGCTCAAGAATCTTTAAATCTCCAATTGGGAGAGAAGGCTTAAAAGACATTAGGAGAAAGGCTCAGATTTCCAGATAACCCAGCGCCGGGCAATGTACGCGTTGTGAACAGGACAGAGGTTTACTAAAACATTCACTCGCGTAGGTTGGTTTCAGCCCGTCTACTGAGATTTCAAATCACCTGAGGGGCCCCAGTGACAGTTGTCGGCTCGCTGTCTACAGAGTGGGAACCAGTTGCTTTAAAATCGAAAGACCCTACAACCAAGTAAAAAGATGTCAAATCATTCCTCAGCCCCGACGGAATTCAGCATCCAAAGGGTTACACGTGGCTGCCGGGCTCCAGCGGTGGAGAGCGCGCTTCGGCACTCCTAGTAATTCAATTAGTCAGGTTTCAGGAAGGTGGGGTGGGGGGTGGGGTGAGAGGCGTGGGGAGGGAGATTAGGAAACCGCCTCTTTCTCGTGGAGCAAACCAATCCGGTTGGAGTAAAGAGAGAGGAAAAAATCCCGATCTGTAAGCAAACAGCAGGCTGTTCCCTGACTGGCTGCTCCGGCTACCCCCCACCTTCGCAAGTAAACTGGAAGGAAAAAAAAAAAAAAGAAAGAAAGAAAGAAAAAAAGGCTGCCCACATGATCCGGGCCGCGGCAGCAACGCTGGTTGGCTGCGCCTCCCCCTGCTCGGTCCGGAGCTCACACCCGCGCCTCCTGCCAACCCTGCGCCCCGCGCAACACGCCCAGGCGGAGCCCCCCTCGCCCACGTCCACGTTCACGCGCGCGGTCTCGCGCAGTGGTGAGGCTGCTGTTGGGTCGCCTCTGCTGTCGGCTTTACACGCAGGTCATTAACGAGGGGGCGTGCCCGAGGAAATTTTTCCCATAAAGCATTTTTCTTCTTTTTTTTTTCCTCTCTTTTGCAAAACTGACTTTTACCCCTTTCCACTTCTCGCCAGTCGTTTCAATCTCTCCAGGGCTGCTCGTGCTGCTGCACTCAAGTTTATTTATTTTCCCGCCTGGGTTGGGGTTTTAGGATTCGGATTCTGATTTTTACCTCTTGTTGCTGCTGTGCCTAAGGAGGGAAAGAGAAGCAGCTGCGGGAGGATCGGGAAGGTTTTCTGATGTAGTCATCGGGGAGGTGCCACTCGCTCGTGCGCGCTCTTTCTCTCTCTTTTTTTTTGGTTTTTCCTTTTTTCCCCATTTCAAACTGATTGATGTATCTCTACAAGTTGCTGGACTTGGGGCCAGCCCCGTCGGAGTCACAGGGACACTTCTGAGAGCTCACCCGGGGCTCTTGGCACCGCGTGTGGGGAATCAGTCTCGCTCCCGGAAGGCGATCGGAGACTGACATCAGCCCATCCCGGAGTTGGAGGGATCCTTTTGAAAGTGATTGTTTCCCCTCCCGCTCTCCAGCAGAACAGTTGGGTTGGCGTCATCTTGCAGGTTTGGGAATCCCAGCTCCGCCGGGCTGGCTGGTTCATAACCTCTACTCTTCATTCACTTTGGTGCACCCACACCCGGCCAAGAAAAGCACACAGGAGAAATCCCTGAGACTCGGCCATTGCCCAGGGTGCCGACTCCCGCTGCCGCTGCAGTCCGACTCCACTAGGGACCTGCGGGAAGACTCGAAGAGCCAAACTTTTCTTTGAGGTTTTCGAGGCAAGACCGCTCCTCGCCAGCGCAGCTGCCGGTTAACCAGTTCCAGGACGCCGGCGGGGCTGGGTTTGCGGCTCCAGATCCCCACCCTTCTCGGCAAGCCGCCCGGTACCGCAGTACCAACTACTCYTCGGAGATTTCCTGGGGTCTCCGGCTAAGGCACAGAGGAGGCTGGGGAAAGCTCTCAGACTTCAGGGGCCACAAGCGTCCAGCCCACTATCTACACGGCGCCCTCCTTTTGCAGTCTCCCTCCCGCCGCCAAAGTAACTTGGAGCTAAGCGGGTCGCAGTGCAAGGGCTCCGGGCGTTTGCGAAGCCTTACGCAGCCCGTGGCGCCGACGCTGAGCTGGGCCCGGCGGGCCGGTGTATGTCTCCCCTCGGCCACGGCGCGCAACTCCCGGTGACTGTGCAGCGCGCGCCGCCGCCAGTTCCGAATCGCGCTGCCGCCGCCAGGCCCGGCACGCACCTCCCTCTGCCGGGGTGACTGGCCTGCAGCCGCCGCCCGAGACACAGCTTGGCACCCCTTCCCCCGCCTTTGCCGCTGCTACCACACACACGCACGCTTCTCTCCATCTTGTGATTCCTTTTTTCTCCCGAACCCCAGTGGGGGTGCGAGTTTGTCTTTATCCCTTACTCCCCACCCCACCCCCCGCCCGCAATTCGCCGCCTTCTTTTCTTCTCGCTCTCTTGCCCCTCCCCAGCTTGGTGTGCGCCTCTTTCCTTTCTCGCCCCCCTTCATTTTATTTATTCATATTTATTTGGCGCCTGCTCTCTCTTTCTGTCCCCTTCCCTCCCTCCCTCCCTCCGGATCCCCGCTCTCTCCCCGGAGTGGCGCGTCGGGGGCTCCGCCGCTGGCCAGGCGTGATGTTGCACGTGGAGATGTTGACGCTGGTGTTTCTGGTGCTCTGGATGTGTGTGTTCAGCCAGGACCCGGGCTCCAAGGCCGTCGCCGACCGCTACGCTGTCTACTGGAACAGCAGCAACCCCAGGTAAGGCGACGGGGGGGCGAAGAGCCCAGGCTACTCGGGCCTCCGGGCCCAGAGGAAGGAGCGGCGGCTGCAGGGACCAGCGCGCACCAGCTGCCGGCAGCGCGCACCCTCAAAGCCTGCGTCTCCCGGACGCTGTTGGCTTGGAGGCGCCGGCGGGAAGCGCTCCCATCGCGCCCCTCTTTGTTAAGAAGTGGAAAGCCTGGGTGCTCCTGGGAGTCCCTGGGGCTACCCAAACCTACTGCCTCTGCCGGGCATGGGGAGACTAAGAAAAGGGCGGGAGCCAGAGAGTTGGGACTTATCCGCTTCCCACCCTGGCAGGCTGACGGACATCCCAATCCCCGCGCAGGGCTTGGTCGCCCAGAGCCCGCGATGTGCGCCACCGAGAGCTTTCGCCTGGAGCGTGGGTGCGCAGGGACTGCGGAGAGAATCCGCCAAACATACCCAAAGTTTTTTTTTTTTTTTTTAATTTCTCTTCTCTTTTCTCGGTGCATACAGAGAGCGCACGGGCTAGGGGAAGTGAGGGGGGCTGGGAAGCGGAAGCTTTAGGTTTTTATTTTCCTCTTTGCGAGAAAATCGTTCGGCCCCGGAGTCAGTCCGGGCCCGGCGCGCTTGTCAATGGAGAGGATTCCTCCTGCACTTCCCGCCCCAGTGGGTTTAAGGTGCCAGAAAGTTTGATCTAATACCGGGTTACGTCATGTGTGCGAAGCAAGCTGCAAGAGTTGATCGACCCGGGAGTTGGGAGCCCTTCGCCCGCGGCCTGGCGGGACGCAGCTGGAAGAACGCGCGCGGTTACCTGGAACCGTTTTGCAGTGGTCCCCGAAGCCCGCCCGGTATGCGGGAGGCTAGAGGTGGGCACCAAGGACTGCCTTAGTGCACGTGATGAACCCCATTCAGCCGCCGACGTCCAGTGTTCTTGGACTCTGGAAGTTGGGGGGCGGGAATTCAGAATGCCTGGCGGACCCCTCCTGGTCCCGAGCAGTTCCAAACCTTACTTTCTCCCTGGCCTGTGCGCAGGCAGTCAGCACCCCGGGCCCATCTACCACTGTTTATGTGGTACATAGGCTAGCTTTCAGCTGTGGGTTGGTCTTGGTGTCTGCCTATGAGGGAAATATATTGATTGTACCTAAAATCACAGGTTTTCCTSTGGGGTGAAGTGGAAATTGGGAGGAAAGAGGCGGGAGGCCGAGAATGAGCTGTGGTTGCTGCGCCCCAGCRCGCCTGGGGAGAGGGGACAGCAGGAGCCTCCAATTCTTGCTATCTCCCACTGACTCTCCACCGGTCTCCAGCCTTTCCCTCGGTATGAATGTTTAAGGATTCCCTGCTTGAACACTGTCAGCCCAGATGAAGATGGGCAGATTTCCCCACAAGCCGTCCACTGGTTGACTRTCTGAAAGGGAGATCCCCCCCGCCCTGCAAATCCAGGGTAGTCACACCCAGGTAGCCCAGTTCTAAATGCACTGCCTAGCAGAAGTGGAGACATCCCTCAAAGTTTTTTTTTTTGTTTTTGTTTTTTGGTTTTTTTAGAGTCTTATGGAGGTGGGTGGTGGAATTGGAAGCTATTTCTTCTTTGACATGCCACTTACCACTATTAGGAAAAGAGAAAGAGAAGTCTTCCTGCCAGAGGAGATGCCTTTTATTAAAGCTGACAAGACAAATAGAGCAAGCTTTCCAGTTGTGATGGTGTTAAAAGCAAGTCTTATTATGTTGGTCGGTTTTATTCCCTTTTGGGCTTTATTAGACAGCATATAGGAAAAGAACTTATATTTCCAAACTTTAGTGACTTATTAAATAAAGCAACAGTGAGTCAGTTAGTTGTATTTGGGACATTTTGCTCTTGGTTGTAACTCCAAACTTCACAGTGTGATCTTTTTCTCGTGGTATTCATTTATTTGGATTTATGGGTGTTCCAGCACTCCCCCCACCATTTTAAAATGGAAAAAACCAATAACACCCCTACTCCAACCCCACTTCTTAACCTGTCAAACTAGTCTGAGTTAGTTTAAGGACATTTTATCTTGGGTTATCTCTATTTTATGCTTTTGATACTGTTGTTTGGTTTGAGATTAGCACATTGATTTTTGTCTCAGGTCATATTTTTTAATAGATTTGCCCTGCCTGAAGAAAGCTCTTCTGCTTAGGATGTCATGGTAGTTTTAAACCTGCCCAAGTTAACCTGTAATTCTTAAAAATACTAAGAGTATTCTTAAGTCAGTATGTTAATTTGAAGATGTGGGAATGCCTTTCTATTTGATCATTATCAGTTTGATAAAGTCCAAACAAAAGAATGTTGTATACCTCTCACCACCAAGAAATTTAGCCCTAACATTTAATATTCTTAGGAATTTATGGAGGCATTTGTCTTGTATGTTAGTACAGTAAAATTTAGAAAGTAGGTAGTGGTAGGCAGTTTTAACTGAGAAATGTTGAATTAGATGATACTTTTTTTATGTATTAAGGAAAGTCAACTTGGATGTAATTTGAAAAGGGCCAAATGCAAAATAAGTAAGTTGAAAATAAGAACCAAGAGTTTATCACAGATTTTATGAGACTATTTCATAAAATTTGCATAAGTTTACTACACTTTATAAATTCAATGTTGTACTTTTTCTTTTCCTATATGCTATCATTTTGTAACGTAAGTTAACCATGACTTTGGTTCTATGTAGAAAGTATCAAGATTTTGTTAAACCAAAAGAAGATAATCAAAAGACTAAGTCGATCATATTAATTGCAACTTGAATAGACTTTAAAATTTTTCTCTTAGAAGAAAAGTTTAGTAGATATATTAAACTAATGAGAATGGAAACTATGTTTCAATGAAGTAAATAAGTTTGAGTGTATACTAATAGGTTGAACTTGAAATTGTATTTAGTTAGGTAAAATTAGGATCAAGTAGGTCCTGATAACAGGGATTAAATATTTTCTTGTGTAAATTGTGTTACCTTGTGTAGCTGATGGGAATGTATCTGCTACCTTGAATATCGTCATTACTTGTCCATTGGTACAATAAGCATCTATAAATTTGGGATCACAGGAAAAATGGTAAACTTATTTGGTGTCAGAATAATTTTACTGTTAGAAACGATATTCCTGATAGTAATTTCTGGTAAGTGGATATTTAGTTTTCAAATGCTTCTAACTTTTTAGTTACCAGTATTTATTGGGCAGGAACTAAACTGATTTTATATGCTGAAATGGCACAAATCTATGAAACAGTAACTGAGAACTATTAGTCTGAAGAGAAATACCTTATAAGACATTAGCCTACATGCATCAACTATGTTTCTAAAATTTTAAAACTTGCCTAAGTTTGACCTAAAAGTGTGATTAATAGAATTATCCTTTTAATATTATGTTGCATTCTAAGTTGGAATGTTACTAAGTAACTTTGAGTAATAAAAATACAAATCAAAGTTAATATAGTTATTTGTCCTTAATTTCTTTAAGATTGTAGAAAGCTTTTAAGTAAGGAGAGAGAGAGAGAGAGAGAGAGAGAGAGAGAGAGAGAGAGAGAGAGAGAAAGAAGAAGATTTGGCAATAAAACTATTCACATTCTCCCTTAGTATCTATGCTGATAAAGATAGACATGACAATACTAAGAACTTGCCTCTTCATCTGAAGCATGCTGTAACACTTTGATGCCTTCAACAGAATATTCTTTTAAACCTTATGTATTTTGAAAAGTTCTGGGACTGATTTATGTGCCAAAATGATGCTAGAATAACTAAGTGTGTCTCCTAGTTGGCATTATGGATGCAATAATAAAATAATATACAGCCAGTATAATCATATTTTCAGTAATGCTAATTCCATTTACTTGGTGCTTTATTTCTGCCAAGGTTTGAGTATCATCGATTTTAAGAGTTATTTTCTTAGCATGAGTAATATCTCTGCTAATTCATCAAGGATTTACTAAACTTGAACCTAGTCATATTTTCTTTAGACTTTGTCAATGCTTTAGGAACTTTTGTAAATTAAACATTTCATAGTACACTGGTAGGTAATTGTTTTGTTAACATGTAGTCTTGGAGTTGTGAACGTAATGTGAATTCTAGGTCAACACTCTCTTGTCCTTCTGAGGTTATATGTATGTATCTAAGTAGAGACAGTAGTAAACGAGTTTTCCCTAACCATATTTCTTTGGGTATTTTTCTTCTTTCAAAGTTCACTTGCTTTATTTTAAAAATTCTGAGCCATCATCATTTGGAGACACATATACACACACACAGAGCAGAATACTGGCACTGTACCTTTTTCTCTGACAAATAAATCATCATAATTTATATCTAAGAATTTATTTTGAGAAAGGATGAAAAGTTTACCTTGGTTTGGAATAGTTTCATTACTATACTTATAAAGGATTCCCCCCCTGTTTAAAAAAAATAAATGTTTTAAATAATGTTTTTACATGTTAGAAACACGAATCTTCAAGTAAAATATATTATTTAGAATCCTAATAAAGTAACGAATAAGCCTCAATGTAACATCAGCTTATTAGATATATTGGGATAATTTTATCTTGATGTTTGGATCAGAATTTTTGTAAAGACAAGGGTAAAAATAAAACAGTACAACTGAGACTTAGCAGCCTATATTTTTATGCTCATCTACTTATAGGAGACCTGAAGTATATTTAAGGGCCTGATTTATCTGATTCGATTTATATGTTAGTCAGCTTTTCAACCTATGTCTTAAGCTGTTTTGTGAAGTGAATTCTCTCCCCTTTTTAAATTTAGGAATTTGTGAAAGAGAAGTTTGTTTCTTGCTTTTTGGTCATTTTTCCATAGAATTTTGTAAAGCAAAGTTAGCTACCATTGTATGCACTATTTTATGTATTCATAAAACAAACAGAAATAATCAACCATCTGTTTTTTAGGTGACTGAAATATTAGTGCTGTTTGTAGGGACTATTGACTGTAGTCTCATTTGGCATTTCTATTATGAGACCAGTGTTAATAAATTACTTGTGATTAACCATATCAGAGAACATCTTTCATAGT